TAATTTTTTCTTGAAAAAGTAGGTGTCTATTTACTTGTGACCACGCTGTGTATATATATATATATATATATATATTATTTGTATTTCATTAACTCATTCAGGAAGATGCCTCTATGGTCCACCACCCCAGTGGCTTGGAACTGGAAAGTGGTAAAGACTCACAAACTCCACTAGAGGGAAAGGAGGTAGAAAGCACAGTGGAGAGTCTAGAGGAATGACAACACTAGAGACAGTGCAAACCCTATTTTAAAAAGCAGACAATACCGATTTATTTAATACAAGGTATGACAGGGATGGGCAGCTATCCCCTTCTGCTTTACCCATGTAGTCTATGGGAGAGTAAGGTCTGGAATGGGCATATTAATAAAGCAAATATATTGCGAGGATAAACCTACAAGGGATCTAGTGGAACACCCCATCTCAGTAGTGTGCATATCGTGGTCATGGAATTATAATTGTTAAGTCATCACAGTCTTACATTGCAACTTTTACTAGTTTAAGTATACCTGGACAGGCACCACTCACCACAGAGCAGGATCCATAAAGAAAAAGAGGGACATTCCCCCTGAAAAATAAGAGGTATATAAATTAAAAGGTAACTTACCCAGTCACAGTCTCACGAAAGAGTGAAAGATGGCAACAAGTGGATGATGGTACACTGACAAAGCAGAGAATGGGAGATGAACATATGAGGTGTAGTCCCAGTGCTCGACAGACAAAGTACCTCCAACAGACGACATTGTTAATATGCAGGGAAAAGGGAAGGTATATGATCAGAGTGAAGACACCAGGAATTGATGGTGGGAAGGAGATACAAGGAATAAAAGGCCAATCAAATCACAATCCAAACCCTATGGGTTAGGGAGGAAGGAAAAAAAATCACAGACAAAGAAAAAGGAAACCATAGGAATGGATTCCAAGAAAAGAAGCTGTAAAAACAATGTAGCAACCCACAACATGTATAGGACAAAGAAGATCAACTGGATCCGACCGAGAAGAAATGTAAAAGATGGTAAGAAATAAAAAAGTCAACAGGAATATACTACATGAACTCCGAAAATGTAGGTTAATCAAATTGATCCAGAACAAAGGAAACAAATCGAGCTGAAACTGCCGAGAAAACCAGATCTGAAAGATCAATCAGAAAGACCTGAACTGAAGTAACATGGATGAACAAACATTTTGGGAAGAAGACTGATGGAAAAACTAATGTTATAAACTGGATCTAATCCTGTCTGAATGTATCAACAGCCAGGTCAAGTGGATGATGAACCAGAGACCAAAAACAAGAGAGGTAACTTGGAATCAATAAAAGATTCAAAAACTTCATTTGGAGGAGTACTCTACAGTAGGCAGAGCCATCAACAATTTTGGAGGATTGAAAGGTCACTCTTTGGGAGAAAGTGTGATGACTGGAAAGTCAATCAGCAATGATGACAAAAGCATCTGGATCATAACCTTCCAGGAGACGTATGTCAAGTGTGTGGGTTCAAAAAGGGAGATTCACAGTCTACCACAAAAGGAACAAAAATGAGCATCCCCTTTCCTCTTTGAGAGTGATAGAAGCCACCACCGTTGAAGAGTTGAAATGAAACAAGATTAGTCAACTTCAGACAAGAGAAGGAGAGTGACCAAAAGCATGTTGGATTGGTGGAATTGCCAGGGTGTGAAGGTGATGAGACATTTTGCCTGTAGACCATCGTCCTGAAGCCTCCTACTGATCGTAACACATCTCTCACCTCTGGAGATAAGTATCAGATGAGAAATAATCCAGAAGAGGGGGAGGAAGCGGTATACAACATAGGGGATATGATCAACTATCAATGCATATAGATGAAGAGGGAAGGATGAAAATTAAGAGGAAAATCAAATGAATGGTTTGGATAACAGAACACTCCATTGAATGCATTCGAGGAGGAGAATTGATTGTCCCTATGGAGGGGTGTTTAAAGATATCCACCCCAAAGAGACTAGGATGTGAGGTATAGAACAGGTAAAACATATTTAACTGGAAAATCTAGCTACCCAAGCTGACAGTGGAAGGGGTATATGTATTATTAAGGCTACCCCCTTTAGGAAGGAGCTAACCAAAGCTAAACATCCAATGAATGTTGTAGGTAAAATCCCACAAAATGTGGAAGTCGGGGAAAATGCAGAACACCCTATAAAAGACATATGGAACCAAAACAAGATCAAAGGGCAAGGCATGAAACAGGGAAAACAACGTGGTGAAAAAATCTAAGACAGCATCCCAAAAATAGAAAATGTAACATGAGCATTCCAAGTCATGCAGAAATTGCCAACCAAAATGTGATCAAAGACTGCATAATAAAATGGGTAAAACTCAAGAAGTGACTGAGGCAGGACTGATCAATCCAGAACCCCAAACAGCATCGGATGTACAAGATGAATGGACAAAACCCATAGAAGGGACAGGTAAAGGACAGGAAGTTGCAGGACATATAAAAGAATAAAGATGATAATATCTCAGAATGAAACAAAAGAGCAACTAAAAACAATTTAAAATAGCATGGTAGATACTCCATGTGATGCTAAATATACAGGAGGAGCCCCAACAAAATGGACCTGTAGAGAAAAAGATCTGATCTTAAGTACCTATTAGCAATGGATGGTAAACAAACAGCAGTGTCCCACCCAAAAATATCCCAAAAGTAAAGAGGCCACGTGCGAAGGGAAAGAACTGAAGATGGTAAACACCCCAACATGGAGGGAAGAAGGAGGAGGTATTGCACAAAATCCTTAAATATAGGTGGAACACCTAAGAAAGGAAGTGGATGGTAAACATTATTTGTAGGAGAGTAGATAGGGTAATATGAAGCTGAAAAACTAGGTAGGGAAGAAAATGGATAGGATTATCAGAGATCCAAAGGATATAAAATCAACAAGAAAATCTGCCTGATGGTAAGTTAAGGCACTCTCAGAAGAGTGACACAAAGAACATCATGAAACAACATCAGGAGAAGGGGAATATACTGTGAAACGTGTCTAAAACAAAAATACAAAAAAATGAGATAGACCTAGCAGATTCTGCAGTAGAGGCCTGGAATACAATCCATGATAAGGTGGAGGAAAACTGACAAAACCTAGGCCTTCAGAAATTGGTTCAGCCATTACAGGAGGAAGGCAAGCAATTTTGGGAGCATGTAGGGTGGACCCTAGCCACAGGGGCCCACACAAACAAAAAGAAGTATAAATTATAAATTAAATGAAATTAATGGTAAGAAATTATGTAGTGAAATAAACATATGTAATACATGTTATGTGTTGAAGAACACAATATAGTTAACCTAACTATTGATTAACCTGGAAGTATAACCACAGGTAAACTGAAATTAACAGACACTCGTTAAGCCTAAGCTAACAAGATATTTAACTTAATTAGGGATTAACCCACAAGTAGAACTACAGGTAAACTGAAAATAACAGACAAGCCTAATCAACAATTGTAGGACAAAGGATATCACTAAGGTCTAAAATAAAAATCTCAACTGAACAATAAGTATGTACAATATTGGGAACAGAAGTTAGTGTGGACTTCGGCTTAAGGGTTCCATACAAGTTAAAATGAAGTATAAAAGATAAATAATAACGAAAATGGAATAAGTATGTATTAACAATAACCTATGTGTGAGACGTGATGTATGGAAGAAAAACAATATAGTTAAATGAATGATTGATATATCAGTAAGATGAATTACAGGTAATCCTAAAATAACAAAAACCTTGGTATCAGTGATATGGGAGAAAAGATACAACTAAGCCTAATTTCTGCCCTGAACTGGAGTATGAGTATCGGCCAATCTAACGAAACTTATGTTACAGAACTCAAATAACCACATGTAATAATATTAAAAATAAAATTATTCAAAAACCATAACAGTATAACGTCTTATCTTTCCAAAGTTGACAGACTGTATGTCAAGATGTGTGGGCCCCCAAATTCGAGGCAAGGCCTGACGAAAGTCAGCACATTGGATGATCAATTTCCCTGAGAAGTAAATAATATTCAAGAGTAATTTTATGTTATAGTACTAAACATCATTATCACATTACTTTTATATTTTTTTTGCAAACAAACTCTGCTGAAACATAAGAGTACCACTACCTGAAACCTGTGTAAATGTGCTGATAGAACATGTAACCTCTGAAGTGTTAACGTAGAATTCATAAAGCAAAATGAATAACCAACCACAACTGTGTTGGCAGAAAGAAATAAAAATTATTTGTAATGAAGTAATAAGTTCTGTAAGTGGGTAGAAATATAAAAGAATTCCACTTTGGAATAACTCAACAAGTTACAAATATCACTATTATATAATAAAGAGTAAACTTGTTGAGGGAAATTAATATAAAAATAAGGAAAAAAATTAAAATTAAACACTTCAAGAGAGCATAAACTAAACATTATAACAAGAGTACTGCCAAATGAAAAATGATAGTTCGGTAGAATTGAATAGGAGTCGAATCAAGAGAGTATCTCATATTTTATTGGTGGAAAATAGTCGCATGATGATTTGCATGCGAGATGCACTGGAATCAGTCAATTCCAGCTAAATGGGAGCTTCAAGGGTTGTGGCATACAGAAAACATTTTTGCATATAGAGGGCAGCACTGAACGAGAATAACTATTTCTGTAAGAAGAGGTAATGTACCGTATTGGAAACAAATAATGTATTCCTTCAACTTGTTTTTACATTTGAAGAGACTATTTCAATTATAATAAAACAGAAACATATCTTAGGAAATAAAAACAACACCTTAAGATATAGGATACAAAACCTTGAATAAGATGAGGTTTGATAAATGTATAGTTTAAAAACATCTAATTACACCATATGTAAGACTATAATTCTAAAAACATGAATTTTTCTACTTACTATTTTACAATGTTTTTACTGCACTAATAATATTTTCTGATTGTGTTCCATGCACAGAAAGTTAAAAATATGCAAAATATGAATAACAAACATGTATTTTTATCCTACCTTCATTCAAGTGTTGAGCTAATTTTACAAACCAATGATTCAACTTTATTTACTTATTACTGATGTATGTCAATTTGACTATGATGTACAAAGCTTGTTTTTGTAGGCTTACATATACCTTTGAAATTATCCTTATATAAACTTTCCTTAATGGAAATTCAAATTGGAAAATGGAAATAATTTTATGTTATAGTACTAAATATCACTAGCACATCACTATGATATTTATTTTTGCAGCCAAACTCTGCTGAAACACAGAAGCTATCATGAACTAAATATGGTTTCTAAAATAAATAATTTTTCTCAAAGAATATGCATAAAAAATTGCCAACAAAATCTTCACAGGCAAATAGATAGAATAAAAATTTATACCACAAATAAAAAACACATATCAAATCTTTTGAGTATTTTCTAATAATATATTTGTTATACTTATAACTTACAGACACAAGTTTCTTGTTACAGAATACTAAAAAAACAATAACAGTATAATTAGAATTTATAATATTTAAGCTATGACAAGATCCAACCATTATCCTACCCATAATTCATTTTTTATGCAAGCCATATATCTGATAATTTGTCAGGTGATATGGAATAGAAATGATTGACTATTCAGCTTACATCATAAATTAACATTTAGTACGAGTTTTTATATGTTTACAGTTAATAACACTTTACTTTAATATTGAATATGATCATTTGAAGAGCAAGAAGAGCCTGAGACTTCAAAGTGACAAATGAGACAAAGTTTGTGAAACCCCTATATAGTTTAGGCTGAATAACCAATCATTCTTATGGATGGAACAATAGCTGAATGTAACAAGAATCATATCTAGTACTTCTAAGATACTATAACTATGGATTTGGATTTAATGTTTTGGACCAGTTAGTGAAATACAGTAACCTACATTCACCTAAAGATAAGAATTTGAAATCACTAATTGCATTTACATGAAACACCTGATCTTAATTTTCATCTTATATTTTATTACTTAACTTTCATGAAAATACTATAGCTCGAAGCCATATATCTCCAGCATTTGTAAGGAAACAAATATAATGATACCCACATAATTTTATATTTATCTAAATGTGGTAAGCTTGCATTATGAGGACTTACTTGTCTCCAATGAGATCTGGGTAATCAGGAAACACATCGCTTCCATCAAGACCATCATCACAAGTTTTACGACATACTTCAAATATAGCAGCCTGATTCAGACATTACACAACATCATATAAAAATCTCCAGAAAACATATCTTTTTTTATTATTATTATTAGACAGTGCAGATAGGAGTTTGTCTTGTATTAATTATAATTATTTTAGGTATGCTATTCAACACAGTCTTTACCTTTTACACAAAGCTTTAAAAATTGTAACATATGTACAAAACTCTCCAAAAATGATCAATCATGCTGAAACTGATTATTATGTGACTTTTATATTTGGCCAATATTCTTTTTATTTTCATTAAAGTTACCTTGATGTAATGATAACCAAAGCCATTATGACATATTGAATTTTTCTCTAATGTCCAAAATGTAAATATGAAATATTACATTAAAAAAAAAGAAGCTAGATATAGTTTCTTCAAAGTCTTATAAGTGAAATTACTAAAAAATTGTTATAATCTTTCCATTACCACAGATAAAATACATCTACAAATATAAATGTGTGTTAACTTCAAGTTATCTATTTGAATAAAGGACAGGAATACAAATAATAATCTTGTGTCTTTAAAATCAACTCCAATAATTAATTAAAATAATTAAAATAACTCTGTGTAAGCCAAGGTTTTATAAATAAGGGGTAATATAACTGACAAAAATAAACATGGTCACCATTTCACGTACACTCTGAATATGTATCTTAAAAGTAGCAACTGAAATATACCCATATGACCTTATCTTTAGTTCTACTAACATTTTGGTACCTACCTCATCACTTGATAGGTAAGGACGAATGGTGTATACTTTATCACTTGGTGTATCAGGTGCTTTGTAAAGGAACAGATCGCTCACGCTTTCAAGTGGTAATAAGCGCTACAATGAAATGGAAGTCAAATGGTTAACCAGAAAGAGAAAGATATATTATTTATAAATTCACATGAAAGCCATACTATTGTAAATGCACACACACCTTCTAACAAGACATTTCTTTAAAATAAAAAGACAAATTAACAGAAATTACCAGAGTCACCATATAATATGTATTTGTTTTATACTTTGACAATGGTTTTGTTCTAATTCATCTCATTTCTTTTCTTGATAATTGACTTTATGTTTTCATTTACTGCTATCTCTGATTTGTTTCCTCTCTTTTATACTCTTATTTATGGAGGGTTGTAAATTCTGCATTCTTGTGGTATCGGTGAAAATGTGATGCACTTGTTATTAAATCACTGACCAATTGCATAATAAAACAAAAACCAACAAGAAGTTAGAATATTGCAAGCTATCGAAACAAAAAGAGAAAATGTTAAACTTAGCACAAAGTTCCTTTGGTGCCATGTACCACAAAGCACCTGGAACATCTGCAACAGTGCTAGACCAATCTAGTCCTTCTGATACATACTTGTAGTTCTGCTGTGAGACCACCACGAAACAACCAAGGTTCTTGTTCACCACTAGTGAAAGATTCCTTATAACCCTTGGAGAACCCTAGAAGTATCAGTTCAAAAACCAATTGTGGACTATTAGCTCAAAAACCAAAGATCTATTATTATTTCACTGAATATAAAAAACACACCAGCAGAGACTGCATAATCAGGTTAACTACATACAAAAATATTTCCTAATTTATTGCCGTAGAAATATTAAAGTGGGTTAACTATGTTTTAGTTTTGAAAATCATTTCACAAGTATGCTTACAATCAACTTTTGCAGAAAGAGCTAGTGATGCTTTAAAGGATATTTATTACATTGTATTTTATAAATACGCATTACTTCAATGTTTGAATGACAAAAAATATTTTTGTTGACATGTATTTAGGGCAAATTAACTACTTAAAAAGAGCAATATAATATAAAACTTATATTATCTTAACATTACATAAACAAAATAGATAGCAAAAACATGTTTTTGATATACAGATCTGTATTTTTGTAAATTCCTAGATGGTAATGAACAGTACATGTATGCTATTATAATGAGAACTATTAATATAACAGGTGTACAAGAAAAGCATAAATTTACTATTTTTCATTGAACATTAAACTGACACTCTTGCAACATACTCAGCTGAATCAGCCATGTTCCTGATCCCAAATTGATCTTTTGCTAACAAAAAAGTGGAATTACAAACTTCCAAAACATTTGGTTTGTTTTCTTAAAGTTACATATTAATAATCATATTTTATTTATATAACTTTTTCAGAAGTGTATACTGGAGACATAAGTGGTATATTAGTCTTGCACAAATTTTACTTTCACAACTACACAAACCCCTGCAAAAAATAAAGAATGGTCATTTACTTCACTGATGTTTAAAAACGTGTGTGTGTGTATTTTTGCAAAAGTAAAATAAAAAGACTTATAGATTTATAACCTTTTGTTTTAACTTAAAAAGGAAAAATATAACAGTGAGAAAGCATTCTTGCCTCAAACCTAATTTTACTCAGAAAAATTGTAATATTGATGCTTTTATGCTTGATCAAAGCTTTGCTATACATGCTAGGAGCATAAAATTTGTAAAAAGATCAAAACATCCAATATCCCAGTTATATTATCATCCTTAAATACCTATAAGACAATCACTGTCATTAACATGTAGTCTCGGCAACTTAACGTACTTTCACTTAAAAACATAACTAAACTACATACAGAAAAAACTGTGATTTTGAAATTTTTGTGAAGTTATTGAACTTTAAATTTAAATTAGTAAATTATTAACTATGATGACTCCAAATAGTTTTCTAAATATTTCTTTCAAATATCAAATTTGTCACTGAAAGGAAAAAAAAAATTGTGTATGTTTGCTACAAATGAGTAAAACTTGGCTTTAGAAAGTCACACACCTTGCCAAGATGGCAAGGAATTGGATGACAACTGCCCTCAAAAGTTGAATATTAAGATCCTACTTTCTTTATGCTTTATCACCTAGCTAGATGTATAAAGTTGATTAACCAAAACATTATTTTATTTTCCAATATTTACTATCTGTTGTAAAATTATTATAAAATATTCCTATTAAAAGAATGGATAAAACAGATAAGTTGCATACATGTGAATGATGGTGTAATCAAACTTGACACTGCAGGAGGCACCCGGCCAAGAGCTAGAGAAAAAAAAGAAAGAATAAAATACATTTATACAGATAAAATATGCAAGTATATACTATATACAGTGTTCAAAACATGAACTAACTAATCAGAAAATTGCATTAACTTTGTATTGAAGTCATTATGCAACTAAAATAAAAGTAACAATAACAACCACTTGTAGAGCAAAGTTCAATGTCTGCTTAGTCAACTACTGCTAACTGTATCTTAGTGTTAGTGGTACAGATATTGATAAATTAATTACATGCACTATTTACTGCAAACATTTTATTATATCCAACACATTACTTGCTTTTTTGATACATGCCATGTGCACAAATTCATAATATTTAAACTCACATTTATCATTCATAATCACATTATAAGTACTGTGGATAAGGTTTTTTTTTATGTCAAAACTCATAGAATATTAATGGATAATATTTTGGCATTTAAAATTCTACTGTGTAAAAATCATACTTTTGATGCTTTTTGTAGATATAGCAAATGAGGCTATAAAATAGCGATGGGTGATATCAATAGTTTGTTCCACAAATATTGAAACCAATTCTAATATGATGATACTCAATAGTACTGTGATAACAGTAGAAAAGAAATGCTAGAAGAAGAATAATAAAAAAATACAACTAGGAACTTCTACTGTTTGTAATACTTTTATTCATACGAATTTCTTGTGCTACTACATTCTATTATGACAAATAAAATGCAGATTTGTTGTAATTAATTGCTTGTTCATTGCTGTAAGGTTGTGTGTTAGCAGCTTCTTTATGACTGCATGTGAAGTACATGAAAATGTTAGTGATGTTGCATAATAGGCTCAGAGTCAACTGGTCTTCAGTAAGTGCAGGAGCTACTGACAAATATTGTAAATATTAAATAAACACCAGAGGCATTAAAATTTTTGTTGTGTGTCTGCATGAAAACTATGAATAATGGAAATAGTCCTTCAGTCCATATAGTTATTCAAACAAAGACCAATATTTCATCATGTTAGAAACCTGATGTTTAATGTCTGCAAAGATGTCTAGATGCTGACCAGACAAATGTTTAAACAATTTTGGTGCACTGCCTTCATTTGCCGGAATTTGTTTGAAACATCTTCAGCATTTAGGCTTTCCATTATCAATAGCATGGTCTCTCCATTAGCCAAATCCCCCAAATAATCCCAAATCAAACTTGTTGCATTACTTTATTTAAGTTTTTCAGAATAGGTTATTTGACTCCTTAGTCTGGACAATGTTTAATGCTTCTTTTTGTCAAGCAGTGCAATGAATTATCATCCATGGCAGTACCATGGCTTCCCAGATTGAACAATACTGGAACTGCAACATTTTGGTATTGTAGTATACTGATGGTAATTGTACATCATCCATCACTACTACAAAGTGAATGAAAATGCAAAAAAAATTTAAAAGAGCCTTATATTTTGCTCACTGTGAAAACACTAGTTTAATTCAGTCCTGTGCCTAGAAAAAGTAAATAAATGCTGATTTATATAAATTCTTTAATTAAAAAACAAAATATTTGGACTTAAATCTATAAAATTAACTTACATAAGTACAAATTGCATTATATCTATCTATAAATATATGTAGGAAACAAAAACCTACAGACATAGGTGACAAAAATATTTTTTGTGGGCTCTAATCTTGAAGAGAGAACTTGATAAAGTATAACACACATACAAAAAATAAAACCCATGAAAAAAACTATATATATAATAATTTCACATGTTACTTGCTTTTGACAACCAAGAATTAAAAACAAATTGAAGAATCTAGAACTTATAAGCCTATGCATCATATATTATCAGAAAAACTAAAGTGTTTTGAATTTTTCAAGAATGCCAGGTAGGACTTAGCCATACCAATTAAAAAATAAATTAATGACAAAAGTTATAATTTTCCTATAATAAAAATGTATTTCCGATAGGTACTTGCCTCCTCTCGAAAGATTAACTATTCTCGTTCAGTTTTACCCTCTATATGTGAACTTTTCTTTATGCATGCCACAAGCCTTGCACTCCCCTTTTGTTGGAATTATCATATTTCACATGTCTCTCATACAAATGATCATGCTTCATCTCTCAACCAGTAGAAATATGACATCCTCATGTGATGCATGTGACTTCCTCTATACTCCTCTACCAAACCTACACTTCGAAGTTTGGCAGAAGGCATTAGCACCAGAGAATTGGGGAGGAAGGGTAGGAAGTGTGAGAGAAAGTAAGTACCTGTCAAAAATACAATTTCAGTATAGGAAAATTATAGCTTCCGTTACAGTATTACCTCCTTTCACAACATCAGCTAGAATCCCACACTGAAAAGGAGGATGGACGAGTGCGAGAGAATGAGAGATATACCACAAAAGCATCCAAAGAATACTCCTGACCATGAGAGATATAGATCTGAAGATCTATAGTGTAGTGTGTGTCATGGACAAGGGCAGAAATTGTGAGGTGTAGAGTGGCTTGGGCACATTGGACCGTACTTGGTAAGTGAACTACATCCAAAACCTCCTTGCAGGGTAACGACACTCATGCAGATGTAGGATGAGGATCATAATTTATTCACCTCAAACCCAAGGATTGTGGATTAAGACATACATCAATTTCTGGTTATGCAAAGAGGATTCTCATAATTTTATCGATCCAGGAAAAGACATCTGGTATCAAAAGATGTCAATCACATATAATTGACTCCCCCAGCCGTGACATAGAACAGCATCATCCAAAGGCAATAACATCCCCATAAAAAGAGAATGAGGGATAGATAAGGAAAGCACCAAAACATTCTCACATACTACCACTATGACTAAAGATACAGGTGCAGAAATTAAGGGAGGGAAATATACAACCTTTAATCGTGGGAGGACTAATGTTGATTGGTTCACTCTAATCCAATACCATGATACTGGGAACCAACTTCTACTTAGAATGAGGTCTTCCAATCGAAGGAGTGAACTGCAATTGTGATGGCTCAATTTCAGTACGTATGTAAAATGTATCAGGAGACCATGTCATCCATTAAGGTGATGGCTCAACTCAACTGTTTGTGTAAAAATAAGTGGGAGGCCATTTCAGCCCTTTGTTATGTAAATAGTATCAGGAGGGCATGTCAATCAGGAAGGTGATAGCTCAAATCTAGTTATTGTGTAATAGGTATTAGGAGGTCAAGTCAACCAGAAGGTGACAGCTCAACACCAGCGGTTGTGTAAACGTTAGTAGGAGGACACATCAACTGTGATGGTGATGGCATGACTCGAGTGGTTGTGTAAATGTTAGTAGGAGGCCACGTCATCTGTGAAAGTGACGGCTCAACTCAGTGGTTGTGTAAATGCTAGTAGGAGGCCATGTTATCCAGTAAAGAGAAAGCTCAACTCCTCTGGAGGCCATGTCATATCTACACCAGCAGAACACCACCACCCTACTTTCAACTGAATGGTTTGAAGTTTTATGTGTGGACCTCATTCAGGAGGGTGCCTACTTAGTCAACCACCCCAGTGGCTTTGAACTGGTAGTGGTAAGGACTCCCATATTCCATATGAGGAAAGAAGGGTGACAATGCAGTGGAGAGCCTGAAGGAATGTCACCACCAGAGACAGTGCAATGGGTGACCATGAAAAACTATTTTGAAAAGCAGACCATACCTGGTTATTCATTCGAGGCATCTCAAGGATGGGCAGCAATCCCCTTCTGCTTTACCCATGTAGTCTATTGGTGGTATGGTCCGGAATGGGCATGTTTATGAAGTAACATATTGTGAGGTAAGAAATCATCAAGCAATCTTGTGGAACACTCCACCTCTACAGTGAGCATGCAAAGCCATGGACAAGAGAGCACAAGTCAACATGGCTGACAGTGTGGATTTAGAGTTATACAATACCTGGTCAGACACCTTTTGCGATAGAGCAGGATACAATAAAGGAGAGAAAGGACCCCTAGAAAAAAGGAAATAGAAAGAAAATATAACCAGTAAAAGTCTGTAGAATGGCAACAGGTGGTAGACGAAACTCGATGCAGAAGAAAGTGCTATACAATGAAGATAATGGGGGATGAATGTCATGGGAGTGGTCCACATGCCGGATTGTAGAATCTCCTCCATCAGATGATGAAGACGAGAAGCAAGGGAAAAGGCAAGATGTCTGATCTGATGGGAGGAAACATGGGACAATGTATGGTAGGAAGAAGGCAGGGAAGAGTAGGCCAAATGAATCAAAAGGCAGATCCAATTTGTAAGGGTAGAAGGGGAAAGATCACAAAGCGAGGAGGATTGCCAGGGGATAAAAAGACACTTGTGCATATCCTGAAAAGTAGCAGAAGAAGTGATATAACAATAAAGGTCCCTGACCAGACACAGAAATCCATCTGGATTTATTCTAGGCTAAAGAAGGTATATAGAAGGAAGGGAACTAGGAGAAGAGGATGAATCACCCTCCTGAGCTATCGAGGTCTTAGGGAGAAAGGAATGATCAGGATAAAGGAGAAGACAGGTAAGGTGATAAAGGGTACATGAAACATCAGTGTCAAACAAATCAGACCGGCAATGACCATAGGCCAAGAGGAGAAGGAAATACGTTTTAAGGGACAGATGAAACAAGGAGCACAAGGAAAGTGGTTGAAACAGAGTTAAAGTGAGGGCATGGAGGACCACATCAATGCCCCAATCCAGAAGGGCAGGATGCCTTGGCAGCCTCCAAATCCTGAAGGAATGCATGAGCCCAATAAGGACAAGAGACAGGAAAATCCCACGGTATCAGGAAAAATGGAAGGTATAGGATAAAGTCACTTGATATCCAGAAAGCAAGGAGACTGAAGACCCATGGTCAAAAAGCCAGGTGAGAAATTCCATCATACAAGCCACAGAAGGCTTGTCAGCAGGAAATCCCATTAGCAGAGCAACAGCAATAAAACTTTCCACTTACGCTGGTATACTTCCATGGAAAATGGCCAAAAGGAACAAACTAATAAGGAGTCAACTTGACATGTGAAACCAGAGTTTCTTACCAAGGACCGGACAAAAGCCGGAAATGGAGGACGGTGAGAATGGGATGTAGAACATGGGATCAAGGTTGACAAAGAAGGGAGGGAGATAGTGGAAGAGGTACAGGTGGTGATAGGAGCAGACATTGTAACCTGAGAAATCAAGGTTGTGCTGGCCAAAAGGGTGCAATAAGAAAGACTCAGCAAGGAGTGGAGTGGACTAGAGAAATCACCCAGTGAAGCAGTCAGACTGGAGGCTACACATAAAGGTATTTGTGTGACCAATCCTGGCTGAAAGTATCAACTGCCAAAGCCTGAGGATGAGTACAGGTGACCAAAAGAGTGTCCCGTGGCAAAAGCATTTAACTGGGGAGAACCCCAATGATGGCAAAGACCTATAAAATGAAAGGATATAATGCCCACTCCATTGGACAGATCCAGTCTGGTTGCAAATGATGATCTGCAACCAGATTGAAAGCACCTGGCACATGACATGCAAGAAGATGACTGTGATGTGCATGGACCCACTATAAGAGATTCAACGTCTGAAACAGAGGTGTCTGAATTGAGTGCCCCCTTGGTGGTTGATATGCTACCAATATGATAGAGTTGTCCAAATGAACCATCACCAGACAATGACGGGTGAGAAGAAGGAAGTGATGTAAATCCTGATGTACTGCTAGAAGTTTGAGAACATTGATATGCAAGACAGTTTCTTCCACAGACCAATGGGTTGAAGCTTCCTGGTGATTGATCCATGCTCCCCAACCTTGAAGGGATGCATCCGTGAACAAAAGTAGATCTGGATGTGGAGGAGGAAGTGGCACGCCCGTCGACGTACGAGCTTTGTCCAGCAACCAGTGCAGATTGTCTCTCAGAGAAGGGGGAGGAAAGAGAATCCCGAGCAAGGTTTCATCATTCGTGAAGCACCCATTGCAGGGATCTCATGTGGGCATGACAAAGAGAGACCAGTGCAGTCAGGGAATAGAGCCTCATGAACAGTAACTGACTGAGCCAAGAGGGCAGAGCTTGATTGAGATTGGTGTCAAAAAAAGACCCCCAGATGGACGAGATATTGAGTGGGTCGAAGGAACGACATCTCCAATTTGTTAATTACCTCTTTCACTTAGTCATAATTTATGACCAAAATGCTTTGTCTATTAGACAAGTCTCATCAATTGTTCTACTTTTTACATTTATATGAATTACTTATTTGTATTCCTAACATATGTTTCAACATGTACTATTAACGTTTAAATTATGAGTGGCCACGAAAAGCTAACTCTCAGTTGAACTAACTTGTTAACAAAGCCTCACTCAATTTCAAAGAAATATTCTTATAAAGCACAATTACATACACACACACCCAACATAGTAACAGTAATAAGTTATTTTGCTAAAAACTTCACCTCAACAAATAGCATATAATTATAAGTATATGATTGCTCTGAGAAAATATTTTATGCTTAAATAAAAAAATTACTATCTGTTTACTACTTTCATATAAATATCTAATGATTCATCATTATTAGTAACTAACAGTCATCCAAAAACAATGAAACTTACCCAACCATTTTAGATAAGAATTCAGCAGAGAGACAACTCCTTTAATATCCCAAATGTATGGATAAAGGTCATACAGTAGAGATCTATTGGGAACATAGGTCAAACGAATCAGCAGCATATCGAGAGCTTTGGCCATATCATCAAATGTAGTAGCACGGTTGTACCACTCTTGTATATCTGGTTCTTCTTTTCTGTTTTTTTTGTGTTCATATATTTTATGTCCATTTGTTTTTAACCAATGAAATTCTTGTAAAAGGTGCAGTCCTTGACTTCCATGTTCAAATGGAAGATAAAACAAATCTACCAATAAAGAAATGTCATCAAGAGTCAGTTGTTTAGATAAAACTTCACTGTCTTCATCAGTATTTGTAGGTTCAGTTTGCATGTCTTCTGAAGTGTCTGGAGTTTTCTCTGTGTCTTCAGAGAGACTAGATGTTGAGCCTTTGCTTTGGGTTTGAGCTGATGATAATTGTTCCATCTCACCATCTGCTTTATGGCTAGGTGATGATTCTGATGAAGCATTACAGTCCATTGGCTCCAATGGAAGACCTTGTTGGTCATCAAGAGGAACCAGGCTGTTTATTAGTTGATTAGTAATTGGTTGGAAGCCTGAACCAGTCTCAATTAAAGAAGTACTACCTGTTATAACCTGTGTGCATGGGGCACTTGTGGTCATGGTGACACCTACACAGGTGTTTATGACTGGGACAGGAATAGAAGGTGTGACAAGTGCTGGAGGAGGAGGACATGGTGGGCAAGATGGTACTGGTGCTGGTACAAATGGACCAGGAACTATTTTACCATAAGCATTTTTAGATTTGTAAAATTCTGGTAGCCAGTTTTTTAAAGCTGCCTTCAATGCCTGCTTTGGATGGTAAGTATTTGGAGCTAAAGGGGTAGGAATATCTTCTACTGAACCATTCTCACTTTCTGTTTCCAGTTTGATATCTGCAGTAACTGAATCACCTGAAACAAAAATATTTCCTGAAAATGTTATTTACACTTATCATAACAAAACAGGTTGGTGACTTTATAAGACTAAATAACTAATTTTGTTTTTTCTTTCACTGAAATATATACACATGAATAATTTCATTACAACCATTTCACAAAGTAAAAAAAAAAACACACTTTAAATACAGGTATAATTATAGATGAAACTAATTATTTCTCTAAATTTAATAACATAAAGATAATTCCTTCAGCAAAAAAATGTAATAACTGTTAGCCCATGCATTTTAAGTTAGGTTAAAGTAAATTCTGAATAGATTCTTTGAGTGCTATGTCAATGAAAAATAAAATATTTTGTAATAATTAATAATTATTTATATCTTTGAAATCTTTATTATTTAGAATTATTCACTTTCCATGTTATTTGAATAAGCAGACATACACAAACATAAGAAAATTCTGACTATTTTGTATCACGATTATAAACTTTATATTAAAGTGTAAGTTAGAATTACAATTTTGAATCATCAATTATGATTCATACCAAAAATATAAAAAACGTATGTGACAGTGATATAAAACAAAATATTAAGGCTGTGTTTGGAGGTTTGTTTGCTAGCCATGAATTCAAAAATAGTTTTGAATATCTGACATTACATCAAACAGCATTCAAGCAGTCAGAATTTTGATTCTCTTATTAACATAAACCATTCTACAATGTTTGAATAGTAATCAAACATTATGTGTCACTCACATGGAAAATTTTATCATTTGATTCATATAAAGTTCATTACTTATACAAAAAAAACAAAAAAATGCATACACCACCAAAATGTTATACATGGCAGCTCCTTTCATGCATTGTAGTAGACCATTATTATGAAGCACAGTATTATGTAACAGCTGAATTGCTTCAACAAAATGTACTGAATGCCTTGTGTTATGGTAGAATAAGTATGAAACATAAAATGTAGGCTAACATTAATAATTTTAATGTTGAAAAAGGAGAACCAGTGTAACTCTATACTCCCCCCCCCCCTTCCCAAGGTGTAAGTTTAATTACTCGACAATGTTGTTAAATGTGATTGATAATAACAGCAATCTCCACACCCTTCAATTGGTTGAGATACGTCGATGATGTTTTCTGTGGTTTCAACTCTGATGAAGAAAAAGAAAAGACAGTCAAACCACATCACAAGTTATCTCAACATAATCTTCACTACAGGAAATTAAGAAAAAAGTTCTCCAAAAACTTTCTATATGTCAAAATTATAAGAAAATGATCAAGATGTGAGACAAAATTCATTGAAAAGCAACAAATCCGGAAAACAATACCTTAATTGTAAATCTGAACACTCCAAATAACAGAAACTAGGAATCTTGAAGTGTATTATTCAAATATCATTTAACATATGCTATATTAAAGATATAGACAATGAATTAAAAAGAATTTCTCAAATATTCAGCCAAAAAACAATTATCCAGAAGTTGTTAAAAATAATCAAAACATCCAAAAAAAATACATATTTTAAAGATTAAAACTTCATCACCATTACAATTCCTTATTTGAAACACATCAGCAAAAGCCCAATTCGATTATGGAAATGACTCATGAAGAAACATAACATCAACATAAATACCATAATCTTACAAAAGCCAGGTATTAAAATCAAGAACCTTATTACTAGCAACTACCCTACTGAAAATAAAGAGAACAGTCAGCTATAAAATCAAATGCAATTCATATAAACACTTCTATATGAGAGTAACCAGGAGAAAAAATAAACCACAGACTTAAAGAACATCTTAAAGGACTCTCATTTGTTTTTTGAACATCTCAAAAGAGGCAAAAAATTTATCACTGAAAACAGTATCAAAATCATCTAAAGAGAAACAGACATCAACAAAAAAAAAGCTGAAGCAATACTGATAAAGTCGTTAATGCCAATGCTAAATGAACATCCAGGAACCCCCCCCCCCTTTATCCATATTAATATTTCATTCACCTTATTTTACTTAAAAGCTAAGTTAACATCACCTACAAATTTGTCTTCAACCACAGAAGTCTTTAATTTTCCCTTGAATTAAATTGCCTTTTACCTGATGATGACTTGATACCATGGGATGAAACATTGTAATAATTAAAATCAGAACTTACCTACTGTAAAAATCACTGTTATTGTACTTTAGAATTAATTATTCAATTCAGGAGGTTCCTCACTAAACATTAATTTATTATTTTGTTCATGCAGTATAACTAGATACACAGTAATGTCATATTTATTGTTCTAACTATCATAAGAAACTAATCCTGACTAGTTTTGAGTTCTGATAAACAGCTCCTATCAACAAACCAACAACCTTTAGTGGTATCAATACTTTTCAGTCTAAATGAACAAAAAAACTGTTTTTTAAATCAAAAAGAAAATTTGGCTGTAATTCAAATTTTTCCAATTTAAATACCTTAGAGTTAATTAACTATATATTTGTTGTACATTATTTTAGAAAATAATTTTAAATCAGTATTTTTGATTGTGGTATTTTAGATACATGAATAATGCTATCAGTGTTTGACCTTCTACAAGTATTTTTATAATCTTTACTCTTCTGTTAAATAAAATGTTAGTAAATAATTCTGTGGAAAATTCCAGCTCATGAGATATATTATTTTGGCTACAAGATTTGAGGTGATCAAATTGCCAACCAGCTAACACAACTCTCAATCATGTCCTTTATCTAGGACATAACATGAACTTACTTAAACTCAGATCTATTTTTCCATCTCTATTACATTTCCTCCATTCAGAAAGCGTGTGAATGGCTATAAAATTTGTTTCATATTCACAGTTTGGATTGGTCAGTACACCATGTAACTGAGGAATAAGGTCTGTGGATCGTCCACTATATGGTCCTAAAAACAGCCTTTTCTGATCATAATCATTGGCATGAAGATTGTCCCATATGACAGGTGGTCTTCGCAAGACTTCGGACAGTTCTTGAATTGACTGGATGGTAATATTTTTTGTTATAACTTTGGAACCTATAAAGAAGAAGCTGAAACTTAATGATACTAATGAAAATTATATCAAAATTTTAATACAGGGATTAATATATAGTTATCAAGCAATACCAAAATATGGAAAAATGCTATGTCTTTAATAATTCAAATTTTTTTGCTTTTACATTAAAGCGTATTTTACATAATATTTATTCTAACAACATTTTCAAGTACACTGAAATCAGAATTACAAGGCACTCCACCTAATACATTAACAAGTGAATGCACGTAACAAGTAATAATGCCAAAACAAAATAAATGTTTTTTTTTAATCTTCTGGAAAACTAAATACTACACAAGTATGTGCACTGTACCATGTGAAGAACTGCAAAATAAAGTAAATAAAATTCAACTATGTCACTAAAATGAGCTAAATTTGTTGTATTGTTGACATGAATAAAGTTGGGCAAGTAATTTATTATAATTGATAAGCATCATGAAAATAATCAACTAATCAATATTAGTGTTTCCAGTGGAAAAATATCCTAAATCAGAGCAATACCAAACTTTCAAATAGAATTCCTTTTATTACTACCTATCAGTTTAAACTCAGAAACATTTCGCAAATTCTGAAAAAAACATTTTCATCTCAACTCTAAAAGATATCCTTGTTCACACAAAAGTGAATTACACCCCACCCATAAATGTTTGTCGTCCATGTAATAAAGCCCGTTGTCAAATCTACAAGTTCTTAAAAACCACTGACTCATTTGCTGACAAGCACAATCAAAGAAACTTTAAAATATCCAAAGAAATCACTTGTGAAACAAAAAACACCATTTACCCTATACAGTGTAAAAAAATGTAATTACCAATATCTTAGAGAACGTTTCAACAACCATAAATCTTCTATTAACACTGAAAAAAGATCTCCCAATTTCTCAACACTTTAACCAACTCAGTCATTCCATTAACGATGTTACTCTCATTGGCATTGAAACAGGACTCAAAACTAAAGCAGACAGAGAAATAAAAGAAGCTTATTGGATTGCTAATCTAAACACTGTTCAACGTTTCGGAATTAACCGGTATCAGTGATCTCCGTTCATTGGTTTCATCTCTGTCAGAAAAATAATTTTTATTCTTTGCATATCTTTTTCATGTAATGTGAACACTGAATTTCCCAAAACTTATTATTTATTTAAGATAATTGTCCATACCTGTTTTTATAAATTGATTAGCATAACATATACTTTTCAATCAGTCTCCAGGTGTCACCTTATTTTACTTAAACACTTAAATATAGTTTTAAATATACATATATTTATCCCTTTCTAAAGTAAAATATCCCTAACACCTGTTCACATACACTCTTACCATCGGCTACACTGTACCGGAAATGAGATGCTTATTTCTGACTAATTACAGATTTTAAGCTTAAGTGATTAGTGTCATAATTCACAAATATAATCAATCAAAATTAGTGTTTCTGATTATTACTCTCTTTGATTATTCCAACCATTCAAATTTCATGTGAGAATAATTGATTAGTTGAATGTAACTGATTAATGACACTAATGATTAATCAATTAGCAAATTCTATGTTACATGTTGTGTGTAGCCTTAAACATGGCTGGGTGATTAACTCAACACAACTGATTACCTACAAGCTTTAATTACAATGGTTAATGTCACATTAAATAAATGATTAATATGAAAAAAAATTAAATAATAGAAATTAGTGCTTTTGATTAATACTATTTTTGTACCACTATGATTTCTCATTATTATCTTCAATTAATTGAAGGTTTGAAGATTGTTCACCTTAACTCTCTGTAAACAGGCTTGGTCATTTTGACTGACCCTGTAACCACCATGTAACTATGAAAGTTATAATTTACCTACACTGAAAATGTATTTCTGATAGGTACTTACCTCCTCTCACATGAATAGCTATTTTCATTCAGTGATGTCCTCTATGTGTAGAAAAAAAATTATGCATGCCACAAGCCTTTTATCTCCCCTCCATTGGAATTGACTGATTCCAATGCATCTCTCATGCAAATCATCGTGTGTCAACCCTCCACTAATAAGATTGCAGCATATTCTCATGCTGGATGTGACTCCCTCTATTCAATTCTACTGAACTATCACTTCGGGTTTTGACAGAAGATGTAAGAACTGGGGAGGAATGGTGGGAAGTATAGAAAAATTATACCTTCCGATATGGTACCTTCACCAGTGTGAAGGAAAGCAAAAAGTATCTTTCAAAAGTGTCCAAAAAACACTCCCCAAGAGGATACAGTCAGATTCTAAGATCTGATGTTGGGGACTTCACCACTTCTGTGCCAGGTATACTCTTCACCCATCATAGAAAGACGTCGCACATATGGGCAGAAAACAGATGAGCACATCCAAGTGGGAGAGAACCAATATTGGATATAAAAGCGTGAAAAATTAAAAGTCAATAAGTTGGTATGAAATTGTAGATTATAATTCAAATCTTAGTATTATACATTAATTTCTTAATTTAAAAGTAAATATTAAAAAACACAGCTAAACATTGATTTTTGTGTGTTACATGGTATGTTGAATGCAGCAATGGTTCAAATTAGATATTTGTAATGTCAAAATACAAAATCTACAGTTTAGTATGAATTAGGAAATCAAACTACCAATACTGACAAGCTAGAATATAAAATAAGAACCTCTTATCTTTTCTATTTGCTAAGATGTCACTCCTGTACTGAATCAAACACAATGGTTCCCTGCCCACCTTTTTCCATTTTTGGAAACGGTCCCTTATATACATTTAATTCTATATATTACATGAATAATCAATCAAAAGCTCAGAATGCCCCCCTAGCGATTTTCTCAGCCATTTTGATGTGTTATTGTGCTAATTTAGTTCTCTTCACACAAGATTTCAAATGATCAGGTATGTCTTTAGTGGGCTCAAAATTTCACATTTTTTGAGACACAAATACAGCTTAGTTACCACATTTGATAAATTATATTGGAATTCTATGGTATTGATGTAGCAATTTATTATTTTTTTTTGTTATTTAAAATGTATATATAAAACCAAATAAAATTTTCTTTTCACATCCTCCACGTGGGAAATTTCACAAGGTTCAGCAACCAATGACAAGCAGTAAACAAGTAGAAAGGTCATAACTCGAAGTTTTATGTATATAAACCTTTGCTTTACTTTTTTATTTACTGTTCTATGTTTTAAGAAAAATAAGTATAAGAATATATTTGTAAATAGAAATAATGCAAATACACATATAATGTATAATAACTGAAATGTGACTGTATTTTACAAAATACTAGTCCACTAAAACACGGCCAAGATAGGTCACTTTGTATAGACTAAAGGTCAGTTATAAATTACTGGATATGGTAGCACGAGTGCACATGCACCCCATCATTGTAGCTTCTGTATTGTTAGCCAGGCATGGCTAGAAGGTTAATATAATAAATATATATATAAATGTATAATGTTATGAGATTTAAGCTAAAAATTTGTGTTTTCATGTTATAATTTGTAGTCATTTTAGAACAAAAAAAAGCATAATTTATATATTTTTCCTAATTCTTTTATTAAGGTTATGAGGTTGTTCAAGTCAAACAAACCTGTACAGAAATACAGTAGTGAAAATAAGAAATAAAATATAGTTTTTTTCTAAAAAAATTTTTATAATTATCTTGAGACTATAAAGATTTCTCATGTGAAATTTTAAAATGTTCTTATGCATTAAAGTATTTTTAATCTTGGATTCCACACAGCCCGTAACGGAAGGGTTAATATAAGAAATTGATAAATAAATCCAGGAACTCAACATCTGGTATCAAAAAGATGTCTGCATAATGTAAACTATCTTCCTCAAAAGTGAAACTGACCGAAACAGCCCCAAGCACGGTAACATCCTTGGAATAATAAACATCGAAGGTTAGCAGAAGAGGAACAACCATAATAATCTGACAGGTGACCCACAACATGGATGGAGTAATGAGATTATAATTGAGGGAGGAACACAGACATCTCTAATACATATGTGAGGTCTTATGTTGATTGCCTCTATGTTCCACCACCCCAGGGGCTTGGAACTGGAAAGTGGTAAGGATTTCCAAACTCCACTAGAAGAAGGGGGGGGGGATGCAGTGGAGAGTCCGGAGGAATGACAGCACCTGAAACAGTGCAATGGGGCACCACTAAACCCTATTTTTAAAAGCAGGCCATACAAGGCACGGCAGGAATCCCTTCTGCTTTACCCATGTAGCCCATGGGTGAGTACGGTCCAAGACGGAGAAGTTTTGTGTTAAAATTCCATCACGAGAATAAACCTACAAGAGATCTTGTGAAAAATCTTATCTCTGTAGTGTGTATTTGCTATGGAAATATAATATGTAAGTCAACATGGCCTTACAGTGTAGATTTGATTTGTTAAAGAATACTTGGTCAGGCACCACTCACCACAGAGCGGGATTAAAAAAACGAGCAACAGTAAAAGAAAAAGGGTCCCTGAAAAGGGAAAAAAATAAGAAAAAATAACTTACCCAGTCAAATTCTTACTGAATGCTGAAGAATGGCTACAGGTGGAAGATGATAACCCGAATGCAAATAGTGAGATGAACGTATCATGGGTAGTCCACATGCCCAACTGAAGAAGTACCTCCAAGGGACAACAAAGATGAAAAGCCAAAAAAAGGTAAGGTGTCAAACTGGATGAGAAGACACCCAGAACAAAGTATGGGAAGATGATGATAAAGAGGAATAAGCTAACTGAATTAAGAGCTGAAACCAACTGGCAAAGATGGAATGAGAAAGATCATGAACAGAGGATGGTTGCCAAGGAAGAAAAAGGTGGGAACAGACACCACAGAAGGAAGCCATATGGGCAATATAATAGAGAAGTGCACATACAGGACATAGAAGTCTATCCAGATCAGACCAAAGATAAAGCTGTGAAATGGAAGGAAGGGAAAGCAGCTAAATGGAGGAGTTATCCTCAAGAGCTGCCAAGGAGGTAGGGAGGAAAAATGGTCTGGAGAAAGGAGAAGATATGTAGAAGGATAAAGAGTATGTGAAACATCAATGGCAAATAAATAGACCACCGACATCCACAGGTGAACAGGAGAAGGAAGGAAGACATAATGGAAGGTGAAACAAGGAGCACTGGGAGAGTGGTTTGAATGTAGGCAATGTGAGACAGTACAGGACCACCATAATATGTCTATCTACAAGGGCAGCCCACTATGGCAAATGATGAATCTGGAAGGAACATATGAACAGCTGAGGTGTAGAAGTGGTAAATACCTGTAAGATCAGGAAAAATGAAAGTGTGGGACAGGGCCATCTGAAAATCTGAGATTGAGGAGACAGAAGAACCCCAATCCAAAAGTCAAGTGAGGAAATCTGCATGACAAAGAACAGTGAGTTGATCAGGGGAAAACCCTGGACCCAGAAACCAATTGCACAAAATGTTCTCTTTGCATTGAAAAACTTCCATGGAGGAAGGACGAATGAAAGAAGGCAGAAAAAATGCTAACCACCAAGACCAGAAGAAAACCAGGCATGAAGACAGAGAACAGGAAGAGAGATAATGGAGGAGGAAGTTGAAGCTGCAGAACCATAGCTGAAACAGCCTGATAGGAGCTATAAGAAGGACTGAACATGGAGTGTTAAGGATGATCAAAATCACCCAGAGAAGAAGGAGAATAGACAAATGTGTTGGTCCAATACTAGCTGCAAACAACGATAGCCAAAACAAAAAGACAAGGGACCATAGACCAAAACCAAGGTAATTTGTGGTTAAGGGATGTAGCAAAAGCTGCATTGTGAGGAGTACCCCACTGAAGTCAAAGCCACTGGAAGACAAAAGGATCGAGAGACCACTCCGTCGGATAGATTTTGTCTGGACGGGAATCCGATCCACCACAAGAGCACTCAGAACACGACATGCAATCATATGAATATCGAGTTCGTTGGCTGAAAAAGAAGGTCCAATGTATGAATACAGAGGAATTGAGAATGGGTGCTGCCCTGGTGATTGAGAAAAGCAACAATTGAAGAAAAGTTGGAAGGGATCATTACCAGGTTTATCTTGCTTCAATCTAGTTTTCAATCTGCCCCATTTTACCTTGGAGTCATTTCTTACCCTTATATGGGTTTTTCTCCAGGTTTATAGGTGACCAAGAGTGATGTCACGAATGCTTATTTGCATATCCTGACATCTTGTCACTCGCGACTCTCTCTTCAGTTTGTTCTCCACAGGATGGTTTATCTGTTTTATGCACTGCCCTTCAGATTTGCTTTGGCACCTTTCAGGTGGTCAGAGCATTTGTTCGTTATTTACATGCTCTAGGGTTCCTCTTTCATTTCTTTGGATGACTGACTACTGTTAGCTCATTTCGAGGAGGAGTTCGCCTGTTACACTTATCCTGGAGGTGGATATAGTGGGCTGGTTAATCAAGTTGCAGAAGTCCTTACTGTGACCTATTCAATATCTTGTCCATTTAGGTGTTTTTCATTTTCAACACCCATCTCAGTCAGTCCCACCTTTCTCCTCTTCGACTTCGTTTGTTGGGTTTTCAGTTCTATTACAGATTTCATGGTTTTATCACTTTTGGGGATGTGATCTTCCATGGTAGCCTTTATCCCCTTAGGTCAGGCTCATATGCAGGCTCGTCAAGACCAGTGGAATCTCACAAGGGATCCTTTATCGGCTCTTACTACCTTTGTCAACAATCGGTATGGGTGGTTAGACACGCCTCACACATTTCTCCTCTTCATCCAGATTTACACATTTCATGGATGCATCCATTCAGTAATGGGGAGCGTGGGTTGATCAGCATAATACTTAGGGGTTTTTGTCTGAGGCCAAGAGGTCTTATTTTGAAATAAGCACTTATGCTTATTTTTCTTAAAACATGGAACAGTAACTAAAGAAGTAAAGTGGGGTTGATCAGCAGAATACTTAGGGGTTTTTGTCTGAGGCCAAGAGGTCTTATTTTGAAATAAGCACTTATGCTTATTTTTCTTAAAACATCGAACAGTAACTCTTCTAGTTACAACCTTTGTACTCGGTTGCTGCTTGAAGTAAGTTGTTAAGCCTTTAAAAAAATTGCAAGTGGAGGATATGAAACAAAATATTTTTTAAAGTTTTATATATAATTTGAATAACTAAAAAATCATAAATTACTACATTAATACCATAGAATTCCACTATAATTTATCTAGCTTAGTAACTCAGATGTATTTTAGTAAAAAAAAATATGAAATTTCGAGCAGACTAAAGATACACCCTACCTCATTGAAATATTGGTTCAAAAGAAAGAAATGGTGCCAAGTCTGTTAAAATGGCTGAGAAAGCCACTAGGGGACATTCTGAGCTTCCAATTGGTTATTCATGTCATATATAAAAGTGCATATAAGGGAGCGTTTCCAAAAATGGAAAGAGGTGGGCAGGGTGCCATTGTGTGTGTTTGATTTATTACATGAGCAATATCTTAGCAAATTGAAAAGATAAGAGGCTCTTATTTTATATTCTAGCTTCTCAGTATCAGTTATTTGAGTTTATAATTCATTTGAAAATACAGACTTAGTATTTTGACTTCACAAACATCTAATTTGAACCAGTGCTGCATTCAGTATACCACATGCCACACATAAATCGATGTTTATCTGTGTTTTTTTAATATTTGATTTTAAATTAAAAAATTGAGTAATATATAGTACTAAAATTTGAATTATAATCTACAGTTTGATACCAAACTTATTGACATAAATTTGTGAAATAGTAGTTCAATAAAATTTTAAATGCGAGTCAACAAACAAGATGACATAGCGTTTCACCTGTGACCCATCTCGAAAGGGTTATAACCTTATGACAGAGCCTTCAGCAAGGGAAACTATACTACACAGCTAAAGTCAAGATTCACAGTCATCAGATACAATATGACTGGACATAACAACATAGGCTGCAAGAACATGATGAGGTTCCAAATTCATTTTAACCTCTGTATTTATTCAAATATAAGTTAAAGTTCACAAGAGCAGAAAATTATTAATGGTGCTGTTCTTTAAAAAGGAAGGCTCTCCACGTTAGAAGTAGATCTGGCCAAATTCTGAAGGAGAAACAATACAACAAAAAAACAATAAAATATAATAATATAATCCCTTCCAGAGCGCATGCTCATTCCAAGAATAAAAATAGGGAGGACTGAGCTGGAGGTCCTTTCAAACATCTACTATATGACATCAGTACAGAATTGCATGATATTCAATCACATAATTCTCCACTAACATCTTCCCTGAGAGATTAACAACATCTAAAGGAACTTATTTGTGACAATAAGTAACTAAAACACCAGTTTGTTTTTCTAAGTATTGTCTCAACCTGTTTTAAGTTACTGTTGGTCTACACAGCTTTATGCATACTGCTATCCCTAATTTTAAACTGGCATACTAGAAGGAAGGCAGATAGTCAACAACACTTACCACCAACTATTGTGCTATTCTTGTCTGATTGGTTGGTTGGGTTTGACTGCCAATCTTATAGCACACCCATGGCTCCAAAGTGTGGAGCATATCTGTTTAGCAATGAGTTGTGAACCTCGAACCCTTGGTTTTGCAGTCTGAGCATTCTAACAACTCAGTCATGCTTCACCTGGGTCTGCAGAAAATTTAATCAAGATTTAGTATCACCACAGCAAGAACAAAGAAAATTGTACATTAAACAAGATTAGTTTTGCTCAAAAACAGAATTAGATAAAACAGTAGTTGATTAACTTTACTAGAAGAAATAAGAATAACTCGGTTCAGTATACTGGAGTTAAAGACAACTAGGTTACTTACTCTTGTTAAAGTAATGGAAGAACAAACTTTTAAAATGCTATATACAAAAGAAAAACAACTTTGAATAATTAAATCTTAATGATTGCAATGATAAGAACTCAAATAAGAACAGCTGGATTTATGAAACTACTGTCATAAGTGTTAATAAAAAGTGAGAGTAGTTCTAGTAAAGGAGCAGAACTGTGCACTTACTTCTTCCAAGCTACCATCTACTGAAATCCTATCATAAAGAAGAAACAGCAAAAAAAAATCAGTTAGGAATAATGATGGACATATGATTCTAGGTTATAGCCATACAGCTGGCATACTGAACAATGCAACCCTTAAAATATAAGTTTGTATAAGGTGTGGATTCATCTTCCAACAAGATAATGATTCAAAGCATACATTAAATGTGGTGAAACAATATCTTGATAGCTAAGAGGTCAATAAAAAAAAAAATTAAACCAGAAAATGCATTGCCAACAGATATTTACCTTTGAACAAAGTCATGTATCCTCCTCACATATCTGCCAGAGAGATTCCCATGCCATTAGCCATGAGGCAACTCTCACCTAATTTCGTATGATCCATGTGCAATAACCCCCTAAGCATTTGTACTTGAGAAATTCATTCTTTGAAAAGGCAAGGAATATAAAAGTGCACTGGAAGTGGGAAGGATGGGTGGGAATTAGTGTCAGGTAAGGAATATGTTAATTTCCTAAATGATACCACACCTCTTCACACAGTTAGTTAGAATCCCACGTTGAAGTGGTGGAGGGGCCAACGGAAAGTATAATCTAGATGAGCTCCCTTCAGAAAGCACTCAAAGGAAGCCCATGGAGTGACACCTAATGACAGGAGCTCCATAAGGGCACAAATGTGAGAAAATGCATCTCATCTTGTCCAAGGTATACTCTTTGCCCAGGAAGAAAGGAAGAGACAAATAAGACCTGTGTGCCGCATGAATGGCCATCCAAGTACTTGCACGCAAGAGGTCAGAGCTCAAGTATGTGTTGCATGGTTGGGGCATATTCCAACCATATGTTGTGTGCTCACATCAACTCTACCATCAGATTTTATTGGACTGACATAAGCTGAGGAGGAGGGCACAGTAGTCAAACCACAGACATCCTCGACTCAACAAAACAGACATCATCAACAGCAAGAGGGCATGATATAGTACTGTTCTCTCACCTCTACTCAACTGAATAGATAATGCCCCAAGCAGAAGGCCGTAAGTGTATAGTGTGTGTGCTCACCTCAACTCTAGTGAACAGACATAACCACAGGAGGAGAGCATGGTATCATAATGCAGGAAGGTGTCTGACACATCAAAAACAGCCAACTGCAGATGATGTGGAAAGAACCATAGATGGAGTCAGAGGGAGGTGAAAAAAGAAATGAGAAGAGAAGAGGAGTGGGGAAAGAGACCAAGGTGGAGAAATGGAAGACAACTGTTAACAGAAAGTGAGACCAACAGCAGAATAAAAGACGGGTACCCAAAGAATTGGACATGTGTGATAGCCACTGATAAGAAGAGTAATGAACTAAACTACTGGTAGAGGGAAGATGAGAAAAAAAAGAGGAAAGCCTGGAATCCAGAATGGTAAGATGAGAAGAAGAAAGATCTAGATGAGGAATAGGAGTAAAGGGCAATGTCAAGAAAGAGGAAAACAAAACCTGGGACAATATCAAGGACAGAAGTGTGATGATAGTAGTTGAAGTTACCAGGGGGGAAAGGAACATTATAGAAGACATATGGAAGGGGTACAGGAAAGAGGAAAATAACCTGAGTCCCAAAAGCAGGAGAACAATGTATGGAGGGATAGAGCAGAAGAAAAGAATGAGGCCAAACAGAGAAGGGAATAAATGTTTACAGAAGCATTAAGAAGAGCCTCATATAAAAGGTTGAGATAGTAGAGAGAATATAGAAGGGTAAAGAGAAAAAGCCAAAAAAAAACATGAAAATGGGAACAAGAAAGTGAAACAGAAGGTATAACGCTAGATCCCCAAGCTGGCCAAATAGATACCAATGACAAATAAAGTCACAAACATGAGAGGGGATGAGGCATTTGAGCATGAAAGAGGAGCTATTAGATAAAAGAAACAGTATAAAATTTAATAACAAGCAAGGAGAGAAGACAAAATAAATACAAGAATTCTGGATCAGAAAGAGAGAAAATGGAAAAGAATAAAGAACATAGGCAAAAAAACATAACATTAAGAGATGGAAAGGAACATACCTGAGAATGAAATCCAGAAAGAGACTGAAAGGACAAGGACATGTCATGAATGGGTAAGTTCTACTCAAAACAAATCAGATGAAGGTCGTAGTCTAATAGATCATTCTTGACTGAAGAGAAATAAATACAGTCAAAACAGTTAAAAAAGACAGGAGTAGGAGACCCATTAAGCATGTGGTAATCTACAACACAATGAACAATGACTGCAATGACCCTGACAGTTAATGAGCTTCCAAAAGACAAAGAAGAAATAAGGCCTAAGTGAGGTCAACATACAACATTCAAGAATAAGTATAAACATTATGATTTGAGAATTCATGACAAAAAATTGTAGCTTTTGAAATAAAAGCTAAAGAAAATGAAAATCAAAGTTTTGTTAACAAAGCAAATCTCAATAAATTGAACACAGATGAGAAATTGAAACACATCTGTACAATACTATGCTGAGGAGAAAAAGGAATTTCTCAAGTGCATAGGAAGAGTTATTGTACAAGGAGGTGTGTCACTCTCATACCGATGGAGGGTTTGGTTGCATGATTACATCATCATACAGTACTGCAATCTATGTTAGATCATGTGAAATTAGGTGAAAGTTGCCTCTGGGCTAATTACATGCAAATCTCTTTAGCAGACATGTGAGAAAGATAGCTGTGTGAAAAGGTGTGGTACCATCTTAGAAACACTCATAAGTATTGCTTAGCCTGCACAAATTCCCGATATTAACATTCTTAAGACCGTATGGGTTGTAAAAACTGAGAAGGTCAAAAGGTTACCAAACAGCTTGGCTGAATTGTGGGGAGTAATAGACAATACAGAACACCTGGTATGATATTTTGTGATAATGTTTTGTACCATTAATAAACTCACTAAGTAGTTGCCATTACTTATTTCCATTACTGCACAATGATTGAGACAATTGTTTGTTTTGTGTTGTATATGAATATTTTGCTTCACAGTAGAACTTCACTTGTTTCGAATCAGTTGAAGTCATAATTTAGAAGTCAAACCTCATAGCACATTTTCAGCCAATATCCTATAAGAGTAGGTATTTAGACCTATTTATAGAATATCAGTGCAACTGAAAATGCTACAGAATGAAGTACTAAAGTTAAAATTTTGATGTGTGTGCCTTCCCGTATACCTCTGTATTGTATTGTACCTAAGTTCTTCAAGAAAAAGTATGAAGCATTCTAGATGAATGACTTACAGGAAAGTGGAGAAATTAGTTGATAAAAGGAGATTGCAATTACAAAATATAATATGGCCTTAACAATGGTCTTTCTCCATTTTTGAGATGAGCCACATTAAAAATCTTAATCCAACCATAGCAGCCATAGTTTTGTAGAAGAGAACTGTAGCCTGGAACTTACTGAGCTGTTGAACAATTCTTCTTTCTGAAATTGAAATTCAGCAGCCAGGAAGTAAGAATAACTGACAGTCATTACGATGACTTACAGTCTAGGAATTCTAATAATGGATGGGGGATCATTTATCAGTTAAACAGAAACCCAGTGCTGGCTGCTAAAGGATGAGGTATATCAGCAAGATCTGTATCGTCACTATGAAAGACAGCAAGCACTGCTAGGAGCTGATAACCTGTAGTGTGGTTGAAAGAACAGGTGGGATGATGGAACCATGAAAATGATGGTATGTTTGCCATGGTTATACATTGCTCTGTGAACTGAGAACAAGGACCATGAGGCTAGAAGAATGTTGAGGCTCCTGGGGACCAGATATAATCACTAGTATTCCTAATGCCTCTGTAAACTGAAAATACTTTTCAGTGCTAGTTTCCTGAGCAATTATGAGAAGTTATGATGAATGTTAGAATATATGAAACTGTTTATATATAATATATATATATATATATAAATTCATATTTAATTATCGTTTACATGACCTCCAATGAAGAGTTTGTGCTCTTAATCAGTGCAGTATATAAATCAGGTTGTAATGGCAGTTATTGGGTCAATCAACCAAAGGTGTTTTTACAATATTGTGGAAGTTCAGTTACTGATGCTAGTAACTGTCTAGGACAGTAGGTGTGTTTTATTGTTTGTTACTGTAATTAGCTTGTGTCAGTCTGTGTGCATAATGATATGTACTGTAATGTAAATCATGAATGTTAATCCATATTGCATTGATTCTAGTCAAAATATCTTAGTGTCAGATGTGTATTTCATAATATCAATAAAAGGTCAAAGCTCTTAGGTGGTAGTATGGTGATGGCTAACATGGGTGTAGGAATGTAGCCATCAGGCAGTGACAGGTTGCCATGGTCAATGAGCAACCTGTTGTACACAACTAGTAAAAGGAATGATTTAGTAAGTGTTAGTGGTATATAAGTATACAGTGCTATACATATTAATCAATTAACAAGTCTTAACAAATACAACAAAAAAGCTGCATATATCAAAAACATCATCAAAGCACAGGCTTTCATGTGGGATATAATATGTGCAGAAGATAGGACTCACATAGCAGTGGGAATACATCATCTACCAGTGTTAGCCTCTTTTTCACCAGTCTCACATGTTAAAGAAAGAAAAGTACACATAAAAGAAGTAAGAAAAATAAATAAAAGAATAAGTTA